CTTTTTAATAGAAATTAATCACCTCTGCTACATTTAGCCCCAATTCTTTCAAAATATTGGTGTACTGTTTGCTGGCATTTTTGTTTGTCTAAGTGAGCTCTTTTTTTTCTCCCTGGGCAGCAGTGTTTACTGGAGCTTTTGAATTCTCTGTGAGCAGGAGCCGGTCGGTGGTATACATATATATATTTTTTTCCTCGCCCCTGTGGTATCTTGACCCATTGTGAAGATAGAGCATTGGCTGAGTAAGTCCTTGTTGTTCATTAAACAGTATGTCATCTCATCCAAGGGGTCTAGTCAAGCACATCTGCCATGTGGGTGAATCCTAACTTGCCCTCCAACATAAAAATGATTTCATTTGGTCACTAAATTTGAAAACTGCAAATTTTTGCCAGAAAACCATCCAGCCTCATAGCTGAGCGTTCGCTGTGTGTGGTTCCCCTGTGCTAGGTCTGGGTCCGTACAGAGAAGGACCAGGTTCCATGTGCTGCCCTCGAGTTTCTTTTCATTGTTCCTGAAGTGCAGTTACTCAAGGAAGCCATTCTGATGCACATCAAGGAAGCCGAGTGCGTGGGCTCTAGAACCAAAATGGCCACATTCAAATCTTGGCCCTGCCCTTGAAGATCTTCTGTGAGTCCCTTAATCTCTTTTGACCCCTGCTTTCTCATGTGTGAAATGAAATATTATGCCTCTCATATGATTATCGGGAGGCTTAAAGGAGTTAATACATGAGTTAATACATGCAAACTTAAATGAGTTGATACATGCAAAGTACTTAGAACCTGGCACATAGTAAGTTAGCTTACAATTGATTTTATTGATATATATATCAATAAAATCAATAAAAGCTCTCAGTAGACCGGCAATTCTGACGTAGAATATCCTTCTCTTTGGTTTTGACATGAAGATTCTTCATGATCATGAAACCATAGAAGCAAAATAAACATTTTTTCCTGAGACCATGGATCCATTCTTTGTGTTAGTGGTTCAAAGGGGGAAGGGAGGAGTGTACAGTACAGTTTTGCACCCTTTGTTTCTAAATGTCATTTAGAGAAATAACTACTCTGTAAGAGAGGTCTGAAACATGTGCCTTTTAGCAAAGCACTCATAACCCCCCCTCACTCCCAATCCTACTGGCATTGGGGCTCAACAGAGGCTTCTAAACAGAGGGAAGACCTCAAATGTTAGTCAAGAGCTGTGGCGCAAAGGAATAATTATGTTGAACATTTTAAGCGGCATGTTGAGCCACAGAGCATCAATATATAACTGACGATTAAAAGGCGACCTTGGAGTATAGTTGCCCCTCGTGTTAATCCCCACGTGCAGGATCTACCACTTGGACTTGGGTCCCCACTTAAATGTACTTTAGTAACTTATTTAGGGCCTCTAACAATTGATTTTGAGGCTTACGAGGGAGTGAAATGTGAATGAATTTTAGTTTCTTTTTTTTTAATTTCTAATTTTTTAAGGGTTTGTATTTATTTGAGAGAGAGCTTGCAAACAAGTGGGAGGAGAGACAGAGGCAGAGGGAGAAGCAGAGTTCCCTCTGAGCAGAGAGCCTGACGTAGGGCTCGATCCCAGGACCCTGGGCTCATGAACTGAGCCGAAGGCAGATAGATGCTCAACTGACTGAGCCACCCAGGTGCCCCTGAACTTGAGTTTCTATTCAAAATAAATAAAGCCCCAGAATGAAGCCCTTGAGGATTCCAAAAGATAAGCAACCATTTTGTTTCTCTACTGGGTACTCCAGAGCCAAAAGGGAGAAGTGGTCCTTGGCATCCTGGGTTTGCCATCCTGAGCTTGGCTGGGTCCATGAGAGTGGGGACCTAGACCTAAGGCCTGGGGGGTGGTCACGTTATTGGTAAATCTTGGGGGCGAACATCACAGGGGACCCCTGTTCCTTTCCATTTCCTGACTGTGTTAAAATCATTCTCGAGGGGCACCTGGATGGCTCAGTCAGTTGAGTGGGGAGCCTGCTTCTCTCTTTCCCTCTGCCCCTTCCACTTACTTATGCTTGCTCTCTGTTTCTCTCTAATGAAATTTAAAAAACTAACAAAAACCATGATGCTTCTCTGTACCAGAGCCTCATTCCCACACAAGGGTCTTGTTTCCCAATCTGAATAATGTGAAGTCATGCATAGTGCTGTAGGTAGTGGTCCTGAGGCCAAAGACTTGAGTCTAATTTTCTCCAGCTGGGTATTGTGCATGTCCTTGCCCATCGCTGTTTTCTTAGAACTTGCCCATCTCTCTTCTCAGTTCCGGCATTTAGTATTTCCATAACATGTTATAGCTGAGTTCTTCATGATCGTTTTTAGTAGTTAGACAACCGGTCACATGCAGAGCATGAGCCAGTACTTAGCCAGCGAACAAAGTGGAAACTGTCCGCCAAACCCAGTTTCATAATCTTCCTTTAATAAAACTCTACTGTGTCATTTTGTTTGGTCCCGGTCTTTAAACCTTGAGCAGACACCAACCTGTGTAGTAGACTGGGCCTGCTGCAACACAGATTTGACTTAGAGTGGAACAAAGAATAAAGCGGACCATGAAGAGTTAAGAAAAGAAAGCCGGGGTGGGGGGTTGGGTAGGAGGGGGGAGTGGCGCATTTGTTGAATAAAACTATCACGATTTTAGATTTTTTGCTTATTTCCTACAGGCCCATACCATTTTGGAATGTGTGCTTTCGAGAGCAGGTTCCCTGCTCTAATACAGAGATTCCTGCTTGCTACCTAATCACAAGTACATTCCAGAATAATCCCCAACACGAGATAGGTGCTCAGTGACTAGTTGTTGACACTTGAGCTTTGTGCATGTTTCCGTGGCGGGGCATGGTTTCTGCTGAAGCAAGAGTATCCAACAGATGCCACGGGCTCTTCTCCCATTTCTCGTAGGCGTTTACCCGCTAACTCTTCACCTCTCTGAAATCCAGCCAGTTAGCGGTATGGTCAATGTGGAACCGAACCCTAGCAATGGAGGGGAAGACAAGTGTGCCCAAGATGAGAGTTTCACAGCCTGTGCTGAAGAAGGCAGGGAAACGTGATCTGTCTGGGAAAGGTGTGGCCTCACTTTTCTCATCTCTTAAATGTGAGAGTCATTCGGTGTGACCTCTAGGGCCCCTTCCAACCCTGACTTCTGTGCTCCTGTGCTTTTCCAATCACCTCCTCCCTCCAGGCTTGTGTGCTCCTCTGTAAACGGAGGGGGTGGGACGGGCAGGTGTTGAAGTCCTAACTATTGGTGACCTTGAAAGAGTGAACTTTTAGTTATCCAGAAAATCTAGCCCTCCAGACTGGCCATCCCCCCAGGGTATCAGGTAGCCAAGATTTCACTGCCCATTAAAGCACAATGAAAAGACTCATTGGGCCTGGGTTCAAACTGCAGCAGCAAAGTGGTCCTTCTTGGGAGGGGATGTTGACTTTGACCTACACAATTAGCTCCTCGCTGTTGGAGGCTCCTGCCCCGCCCGCTTCAGGCCAGCGTTCTGGTGGGGATAAGAGGCGGGGTGTGTGTGTGTGTGTGTGTGTGTGTGTCCATCCATCAGATAGGAGCCCATAGTGTTCAGGTTTCCTCCTGACAGTTCTAATCCCTTGTTCCTGTTGGGAAGGGTAGTGTTGATAAGCGGTGTCCCAAGTCACGCTTCACGGCAGGTGTAGTTCATTCCAGCATCTGTTCCCTGCCCGGTATCTGCTTTCAGAAGTTTGCTCAGGACCTTGGTGGATACTGATAGGAGGGGAATGCACTAATCCTCTGATAGCGACTGGGTAAGCAGAGGGCGGGGCGGGAAGAACAGGCCGGCGGGAACCCCGGGCTAGCTGCCGGTGCGTGATGGCCAGCCACTGTCCTTTGTAAGCACTGATGAAGATGCAGGGTAGGTGGCCTGCGCACCTGTGTGCCTCAGACAGTGTCTCTGGAGAGAAGTGGAAGAGGACAAGAAGCCTCCTTTCTCTGTGGAGGGTGGCCAGTACCACTTTTACCCTTGTTGCTTCCCCTCCTCGTGAACTGCCCAATAGTATCTGTTTCTGGCTGGTCTTCATGTGCCTTTCAGTTCTGGCCACGCACACAGTCCTTCCTGGGCAGCCAACCCAGCCAACTTGGCCTTCTCCCTGGTGGTGGTGGTCTCCCTTCAGCTGGCCAGTTAAACCCAACCCTTTCTCCCCAGTGTAACCGAAGTCTCCTCTCTTCCATTGAGCCTTGCCTGAGCACTCTGCTTTACTGTTCCCAGGCCTCAGAAGGCCTTCACCTCAGACCAAGTTTAAGTGTATTCATGTTCTTTTTAAAAAAAAAAAAGATTTTATTTATTTGACAGAGATCATAAGTAGGCAGAGAGGAAGGAAGTCGGGGGTGGGGGGCAAAGAGGCTCCCCACTGAGCAGAGAGCCCGACATGGGGCTTGATCCCAGGACCCTGAGATCATTACCTGAGCTGAAGGCAGGCTTAACCCACTGAGCCACCCCGGCGCCCTATATTCACGTTCTTGCCCACAGAAGACATTGAGTTTTGCCTTCAGCACAGCTACTGGTACTGAAAGGAGCACACACTAGGGACCCTGCTACACCTCGATGCGGGGGGGCTAAGTGTCTAAGGCAGACGCTGGTGGTAGAGGCCATAGCAGGCCATGCACGGTGGGCAGGAGAAGGTCGTCTCTCCTCCTGTGTCTCCTGCCTGATCCTGGAGCCGTGTGTGTACGAGGACTTGAGAACAATTGAGCCACATAAAATGAGTGAGAGTGAACGTGCGTGAGAGAGCGGATGGAGGGAGCATGGGTGCCTCGGGGGTGTGAAGTGTGTGCCCCTGGTTTATTAACGGTCGAGTGGTGTTCTTCCCTCTCTCCCCACCCACCTTCTTCCTAGCATACCCTTTCCTTCTCTCTAATCTGCCTCTTACAAGTAACAGGCCAGGCCTGCTTGGTGTTATCCATCCCAACTCATTCTTAAGTCGAATTCATGGCCACACCTTCAAGGTCATCTGTTACTGCTGCCTCACCACTGTATTTGTCTTCCCCTAAACTAGGTCAATCCCACAGCCCAGTGTACCCAGGCCTTGCTCAAGATGACCTACTGCTCCCACTGCCAGGGGCTTGTGAGTGTGAAGCCGTGTTACAACTACTGCTCCAACATCATGAGAGGCTGCCTGGCCAACCAAGGCGATCTTGATTTTGAATGGAACAATTTCATAGGTGAGTGAGAGTGAGGGAGGGAGTTGTGTCGCCAGAGAGAGCTCAGCTTCCGGGCACGGGGAATTTTGTAATTATCATCCATGAAAGTTCTTCTGTGCCTTATTTATGGGATGCCAGAGTTCTAAGTGTACTTAGAGTTTGCACCATTCTACAGGTAAGTGTTCCCTTGAACTGATGGTGCTGGTACAGAAGACCTCGGACCTAGCAAATACCAAGGTATCAGAGAATGTGACTTTTTGGCATTTCCTCCCCGGAAGGTCTGTTTTAGTTACGCATCATAGGCTTGTGTCCCTATAAATGCTGGAGTATGGCCGTTACTGACTAAACTTTGAAATCACCTGTCACCCTGGGACTGAACCTTCTATATAGTGGCCCGATGCCCGTTGGATGTTTGAACCAAGTGAAACCTGACTCGGGGGGAATCTAGGGGTTCTCTTTCTACAGAGGATTTCACAGTAACCCGAGTGCTCTAGTGAGCACGGAGGCCCCTTTGCTCTAGTCATCTTAGAGGTGAGCATCCTCACAGCTCCCTGACATCTGGAATCCAAACAGTTGTGTAAGCGGGTTGCCCACTTTCCAAGAGGATTCATCAGCATCAGTGGGAAAGGACAATTTTAAGGATTGTTTATAGGTCCGGCCATTGAGTTCGTTGATGTGCCATTAACGCACAGCTTAGTCCTGAAAGATCCGTGACGGGCATGGGGGCTCCTGGTCCTCTGTGTTAGTGGCGCCATATGCGCGCGCGCGCGCACACACACACACACACACACACACGTGCATGCGCACACACAATCCAACGGCTCACAAAACAGACTCGGCTCTTCCTCCAGCGCCCAGTCATGTTTGTGTAATTGCAGAACATAAGTGGCTTTAGAAGCACCTGTTTTTCACTTCCTTGTTTGCATCATGGGAACATGTGTGCAATTTGCTGGCACCTTTCGGTCAAGGGATTGGACTCGGGAGAGGTGGTTTTTTATTTTTTAGTCTGCATGAGAGCTAATTACCATATTAACTCTGTTTGAAAATGCATCAATAAATTGGCTCCAACAGATTCTTGAGAACACTGACGGGGCGGGTGGGGGGGAGAGACACATGAATATTAAGCACTTCAACACAATTGTAGCCTAAATAGCTCTAAGTGAGAAGACCTGTGAAAGGGTAGCCAGAGGCAGCAGAGGCTCTTGCATGGATGGCCCAACGTGCCCAGAAGGAAGCCATGGGAGAAATTGTGGCTTTAAAATCATTCCCTCCCTCCCCCCATCCCTCACCCCGGGAAATAAAAGCTCATGGCATTTCCAGATCAGAAGTTGATGTTTCAATTTTCAATTTTCAATCCGACCCTCACCCCTCACAACCCAGATGCCAAATTTGAAGTTCCCTTCTGCTAAATTCTGTAAATGTTGGTTCGCCTTTTAACTTTATAGCATCTACTGTACTCGTTCTCCGGGCAAAGGAGGATAATTCGCCATATACTACAAACAGTGCAGAGTGACAGCCCTCGAGTTTTGCCAGCCTTTCTACAGACCGGTCACGAGTGAGGTGCAGAGGGCTGTGTCCCTTACACTGTTCTCTTGTTCCAACGTGTCTGGCAGAAACTGTAACTCATTGTATTAAAATACAAATTCTCTCACGCTCTTTTTTTTTTTTTTAACATTTTTCCAAAGAGTTTGCAGATCCACGTCAAATCAAAACTGCACTGTGGCTCGCTTAATTAATGTTTTCAAGCAAGGAGGAGTGAGTTGCGGTGGTTGTTCTTGTTGAGAATTTAAAAAACTACGTTTGTTCTTTCAAGAAACAGAATTAAACCCGAGTGGAAATTGATAGGATTTCTGAATCCATTTTCCTCAGTTCTTTGAAATGATCCTCCTTGGAGGGATGAGGTATATAATTGTATCTAAACTTAATTTTTAATGGGTATTTTATTCTTTCTGTCCCATAAGCTGATCTCACAGGCCAGGGGTAACAGACTTTGTTAATCCCCAGTGCTTTTTTTATGAATTTTCACCAGGGTTTAATTTGCTCTGTGGTTGTAGAATTCAGTCCCAATTTACATGCCTTTGCTCTAAGTTCTTTTTTTTTTTTTCCTTCGCAAAGGATTTTTCTTTCCCCTTTAAACGACTGCAGTTAACGAATGGTGATGGGCTTTTCCCCCAACTTCTTTAAAATCAGATCTTGGGGTTAAGTTGGGAAACTGCCTTTTGTTTTCCCAGTGGGTCGTGAGCCTGAAGATGGGGGTTTGTGAGTCCTGGCAGCACAGCGCTAAAGGATTCAGTTTGCCTGGTGTGAAGGGGATTCTCTGTGGACGAATGGGGATGACCTGGTGCCCATAGCCTGAGTGCCAAAAGCCTGTGGCTGGACCAGGCCCCCAAAGAGACAGGCTCAGTTTTCCACATCTGCCTTCTTGCTGCTGTGTCCTCCTTTCCCTCTCTTGAATTGCTACCAGCCTTGTTCCAGATGGATCCAAACAGTTGGAACACCCGGACCTGGTTTTGTAAGAGGTCGGCTCAGAAGGTCAACCCAATACTACCCACCCCCCCCCACCACCACCACCAGGACAAAGTCGGTTTCCGGACAAGCTTAAATGCTGCTCCGTTGCACCTTGCTTTCCGTCACGTACTGTGGTTTGCCTTAACCTTCACCTGACACCTAGCCAGCCTGACTCGTGTCACACGTTGTGGCCACAGGACTTCCGTGCTGGGATGTTGGGGTGTCAGGGCTGCCAGCAGGAGGCAGGGCTGGTCAGATATCCCAGAAATAAGAGACCTTTAGCCTGGACCCACCATCTTTGGCTCTCCCTCGGGGCTTCTGATCAGGGCTGGCCACTTGTAGGGAAGGGCTGCACTGAGAGCCAAGCGGGACTCCCCCCCGCAGGGGTGGGGGGGCCCACTCTGCACATTCCTCAGCCGCCCCGTGCAGGACGCCATGGCACCGGCCCCAACAAAGGCCCGGCTTCCCTCCATTCCCAGAGTTGACAAAGATGCCAAACAGCCAGAAGAATCGGGTTTATGTTTCCTTTCAGTCTTTCACAAACACGTTAGTGATGCGGCCTTTCCTCACCAGTAGGGGAATGAGTAGTTCCAAAATGCACTGGATCCCCCACCCTTGCTTAAACCTCTGCATTTTGGATGTTGATTATCTATCTGTCTATTCATAACATTTTTATTTGGAGCAAGCGACTTCCTCGACAAAGAATGTGCTTTCTGTACGTGGCAGTCCTTGACGATTTGACAATGATGAGCACGTTGAAGCGGTGCTTGACTTGTTTACAAAAGTCTCCCTTTGCTAGCCCATCAGAAGCATTTTCCCCTGTGGTACGATGCTATGTTCATGCCGGCAGCCTTTACTAAGAGGTAGGAAGCGTTACTTTATTGGTGCTTACCACAATGCAGTCTGAAACTTCATTTGTGACTGCTTTTCAAAAAAAGTGCGTTTCAGGGAAATCTGCTTGTGGTTTGTGACATCGGAATTGCAGCTTAGAGATATGACCCCCATGCCTTCGGATGTTGTGTTGGGTCTGTTCTAGGTGGAAGGTAAAAGGTTGATGATCAAATTGGTTTTCATGGACAGGCTGCTGCCCAAAGTCCTTTGCACCAGAAAGTTGAGGTAGAAGATGGTGGTGGCCTGCAGTCCTCTCTGAGAAGGGCATAGAGGCTTCTGGAAACTAGCCCTCCTTGCTGGGAGCTATCCTCGGCCTACCTGAAGACTGTGGATAACATGGTAGGCCCACGTTATGCCTAAAGAGCCTTCCCTGCCGGGCCTTAAGCACCAGAGTTGAAAGGAGAGCAGACACGTGGAAAAGTTCAGTGCTTGTCCAGAGTGAAGCACCCTTTTCCTCATTTCCAGTTTCCTCGAATTTTGACCAGGAAATATCAGGCAACAGTACTGAGCCTCATGATCCCCACGAACATGTACGGCAGAAAAACAAGTACTAAAACATTCTAGACTCCTCCAGAAGGCCAAGGTGACTCGCAGAGTCATCAATGAAGACTCACACTGGGAGCATGGGCTTTTTGCGGACTGTGTCTTCTGTTGTCTTCTCACCCAAATGAAAAGAGGCACATGTTTTGCTTTAACTCGAGGCCCTTGTGTTTGAAATGGGAAGTTTATCTTAATACAAAATTGCATCTTTCAAATTTTCATTATTTGAAAAGTCATTAGAATTCCTCAGAACACTGTCATTTGTAATTTCCAACTGTGCGCTCAAGGAGCTGAAAGGGTTTCATTTAAAAAATGAAAGAAAGCAAATGATATGCCAGGATTTTGACAGATTTATGTTTCTGAGTCTTGTAAACGGAACCTAAATGAAAAGATCCCAGAAAGTCACTGGGAGAAGTGGCATGTTGTTGTACCCCGGCCGCAGGTTTGTCTGCGGGAGCTAGTGCAGAGCCTCACAGCGACAGCCAGCGACACACGCAGGGAATGAGTAATCAGTGTAATAGAATGTTCCCGATTGGGTTTCCTCTCTGTGGAATAAAGCATCCACCTGGCCATTTCACCTTGTGGAGAGCTAGTGATACACGGTGACTAAATGCAGCTTGGTGTTAATAGAAACGGATGTAAAAACCTGAGTTGATCAGGACACGTGCCTTCTTCCCTAACACCCCCCCCACCCCCCCAGAAATCAAGACGGGGTGAGATAAGCAGACTGATGACCCACGGCCGAACTCACGGTTTACTTTTGGCGCTGTATTGTTTTTCCCCAAATGTCCTGTTAGACGCGATGCTGATGGTGGCAGAGAGGCTCGAGGGTCCTTTCAACATCGAATCGGTCATGGATCCCATCGACGTGAAGATTTCCGACGCTATAATGAATATGCAGGAAAACAGTGTGCAAGTGTCCCAGAAGGTAACGAAGGCAGGATAACTGGCAAAGAGAGGCAGAGCCCTCCCCTCCAACCCCTCTTCACAGCCTCCCCCCCCACCCCAGGCTTGGGATGCACCTTCCCTAATGTGACCATGTTTGTTTTGATGCAGGTTTTCCAGGGATGTGGGCCCCCCAAACCCCTCCCGGCTGGCCGGACCTCCCGTTCCATCTCCGAGGGGGCATTCAGCGCTCGCTTCAGACCGTATCACCCCGAGGAACGCCCGACCACGGCGGCTGGCACGAGTTTGGACCGACTGGTGAGCACTTTGGCGCAGGAGCGGGCGTGTTTAATGACAAAGAACCGAAAGCATTTGCTCCAAATGCAGTTTTAGTTGGAAGTCTGTCAAGTGCGGGTCTTTCAGGTGAAACTTTCCAAGCAGATTGCATGTGGATGTCCATAAATCTGCCTCTCATTTTCTGGCTCATAAAGTCCGTACGTCGTTAGGAAACGCGGCGCATCTACTGTGCGCCCATCACTGTGCCCGTTAGAGGGAGGCGCAGAGCGATGGGACGCCTCCTCGTTCTCAAGAAGCCCCCGGCGCAGCGGGAGAAGCAGGCATCCCCGGCTACACGAGCGGAGGGGATGTGCGGGGAGTGCTGGGATGGCGGGAAGGTGGGAGAGAGCTGCTTGCCACGTGTCGCCAGGGCAAGGGCTGGGGGAGCGGCGTGGTGACAGGCACTCACAGTTGCACAGAGGGAACAGTATAGACGCTGCAGCCAGAAGGGGAAAGTCTGCTCATCCCGCGGGGCCTGGAGGCTGGCGGGCCTCAGACGGTAGCTGCGAAGAAGAGGGAGAGTGGACGGTGGGTCTGGGTCGCTCCCTCGGGGCCTGCATTCCAACCATTAGTTCATCGGAGTGAGTTTGTTCTTTCTGTATAAATTTGATCTGCATTTTTCTCTTGTGACTCGAGTTGAAAAGGAATTGCCGAATGCTCTGGAGCTACTTTAGAGATGATCAAAAGACGCATGTGTAGGCTGTTGCGTGCTTTTACAGAGGTCTCTTTCCCTCCCCTCCCCCCATGAGGTTACTGATGTCAAGGAGAAGCTGAAACAGGCCAAGAAGTTCTGGTCCTCTCTGCCCAGCAATGTTTGCAGCGATGAAAGGATGGCTGCCGGGAACGGCAACGAGGATGATTGCTGGAACGGGAAAGGCAAGAGCAGGTTAGCCACGGGCAAGTGGGGTGGCGGTCTCCCTTCCCACCTGCCTGGGGGCTCGCGGGCCTTTCAGATGGGGGTCACTCAAGTTGTCACTCGAGGGAGGCATCATGAAGTACTTGACAGTAGGTAGCAATAGCATGGTTGGCTTCTAGATGTTCTAAGGAACAGGCTTTGCCCCGCAAGCCTTGTGAAGGCACCCGGCTGTTTGCGGAGCGTACTGGGCCAGAGGTCTGCGATGGTGGCTCTGGTCCAGCATGAGGACTGCAACTCAGGGTTCTGGTAGCATCATCTTCCCAGGGTTTTAATGCCTATGGTTCTTAGCCCCCCAGTCTGGCCTCCTAAAGCTCCAGTTCCCCCAAAGGCCTCATTCTCTTCTTGGGTGATGTCTTATGTAGCCACCCCTCCATACCCAGTAACTTTCCTAAGTCCCCACTGTATCGGCCCTTGACTCTGACCCACCAACGTCCATTAAAAGGGGTAGCTTTCCAAAACGTCCCCATCAAAGTGGAGAAACAAGAAATGGGACAACTTTCCCCTGAACTGCACTCAGTGGGAATACTAGAATCAAGGCAGAATTCTCTGATCTTCGGCGACTTTGAGCTTTACCGATCATCTTAATGGGGTCATTTTCCATTTCAGATACCTGTTCGCGGTGACGGGAAATGGCTTAGCCAACCAGGGCAGTAATCCGGAGGTCCAGGTGGACACCAGCAAACCAGACATACTGATCCTTCGCCAGATCATGGCCCTTCGGGTTATGACCAGTAAAATGAAGAATGCTTACAATGGGAACGATGTGGACTTCTTTGATATCAGTAAGTACCTGTGGTTTGAAACTTACACCTTGTTCTCGTCCACTGTGTGATGAGAACAAGTGGAATGAAATGTCTGTTCCTCTTTTTTTTTTTTTTTTTTTTTTTTAAAACTAGGTGATGAGAGCAGTGGAGAGGGAAGTGGAAGTGGTTGTGAGTATCAGCAGTGCCCTTCGGAGTTTGAGTACAACGCAACCGACCACTCCGGGAAGAGCGCCAACGATAAGGCCAGCGGTGCTGGTGGCCTTGCCAGGGCACAGCCCTACCTTCTCGCTGTCTTCTGCATCTTGCTCCTGGTCATGCAGAGAGAGTGGAGATAATTCTGAATCGTAGAGAAAGAGTTCTCTTCAAAAAGTTAAAAAGGCACCGGTTATCACTTTTATACCATCCTAGTGACTTTGCTTTTTAAATGAATGGACAACGATGTACAGTTTTTACTATGTGGCCACTGGTTTAAAAAATGCCGACTTTGTGTTTTCATTCAGTTTTGTGGGGAAAAGTGACTTGTATGTATAAAGGCAGTTCCTGCTCCCCCAGAATCATGTTAAACGTGGCTAACAGTGTAGGTACAGAACTGTAGTGAGTTGTGCATTTGTGATTTTATCACTCTTGTTTTTTTTTTTTTTCTTTTTGTTTGTGGGGTTTTTTTTTCTCCTTCGATTATGATCTCACCTTGTTTCTTACAAGAAAACCAGGGTCCTTTCTTGGCATGTAACATGTACGTATTTCTGAAATATTAAATAGCTGTACAGAAGCAGGTTTATTTATCATGTTACCTTATTAAAAGAAAAAGCCCAACAAGCAGTAAAATGTCCATTTATCCCTGTTGATGGGTTGCCTTCTCTGGAGAGGAATGGATATGATTTTGTTTTTTTTTATTATTAAGTTAGGACAGAATGTGAAGGCACAAGGGGGCTTCTGAGCCACTTGGTAGGTTGGATTCAGGTATCAATGCAAGAAGGCTCTACTTCCCTGATAGCCGAGGACTGGAAGACACTGTAGACCATATCCGTCTTGGTCGAACTAAATTACATAAACTAAGATCACAGGTCCGTTTCTTGAACCCGCTTATACTTAGAGCAGAACCCACTTAGAAGAAGATTCCTTTTCAGTACACTCTCCCTAGAAATATAGAAGGCGTTCAGGATGTCTGAGTTATCACACGTTCACACATAGGTTAGGGGGTGGGTTTTTGTCTTTTTGTGTCTTATCCAAGCAAGTTAGCAAGCCGCTGTGTGCTGGTCTTCATGTCCACACTGACCTGCTTTGATTTCCTATCCCGAAGGCAGAAATAAGTGACCAAGAAGCTCATTTGGTCCTCCTTGTTACAGCATCCCAGATTTCACACCCCACCGTGTAGAATAGGGAACTCTCTGGGGGCCAGCCAGAACCGGGGTACAGTCTGGGCACCCCAAGTAGCTGTCAGCACTCCTCCAGCAAACTTCTCGTCTGTGCATTTGCGTCTGGTTTTGGATCCCCGTTTTTGTAAAACAAGGTTTCTAAAGCGTCCTACTTGAGTTGTCTTCCCTAGGCCCATCTGATCAGAAAGGCGAAGGGCTTGCTGTGGGTCATGGCCATGTGCTACCTTGTCAGCCAAAAAGTCCGCTTGGGGCCATCTGGGTGTCCAGGCTTTTTTCACATGTTGTCGTTGTTGAGAGGCGGACGGGAGGGACTATTGAGCCCAGAAGACAATAGCTTAGTGGTGACCCTTAGCCATGGATCTGGGGGCGGGGTGGGGCGGGGAGGGGTAGGTGGCACGGGGATCTGGCAAAGGCCAGAGCTGTTGGCCCAGGCCAAAGACAACCCCGTTCCTTGTATCCTTACCAAATGACAGCTTATAAAACCATGAGAATGTAACAGCTCCCTTTAAAAAGGAGTTCCCAGAAAGTCTTCAAAGAGGAAAGATCCTGCAAGTCTCTTCCTGCGTTAGGCAGCCAGATCTCCGACGCCACAGAAGCTAACACCCACGGAGGGGTGGTTTGTGTTCCTGTTGAATCTTCAGTTGTTAGACTAATTCTCTATTTTTATATTGAAACATAATCACTTGATAGCTCAGGGTCTACATTTCATTCAGCTTTTCACACCAAATTCTTCAAGAATGGTCAACATGGAATATTGGGGGCTGTTGTAAACAGAGGCTTAATTTTATTAGAAGTATGCAGTTATTTATTAAAGCATGATGTTAATAAAATAGGCATATTCTGGCTGGTGTGTATAAGTGTTTGTTTTTTTTTTTTAACAAATCACAGAAGACCTAAAATGGAAAAGGTTCTCCATTTATGTATGAGGAAAAATGGATTGTAAATAGCTAAGCTGCCTTGTGAGAACTTGGAAAATGTGCTGATACTTAGTAACTACCTCAGTTGTGAGGAATTTCCTTTTTAGCTTAGACTGCTATTACTTCGACTTGGTAGAAATGAATCTGGTCTCCAAAATGTGGCTCAGAGAGTTATCCCCGTAGACCTTGTGAGTTGTTTTTAATTTAAAACCTTGAACTCTGCCCAGCTGTTTTCTTTCAGTCAACTTCTCTACACCAATAACATTTTCCGAATTAAATATTCTTGAAGGTTCTTCTGGACTCTCACTGATTTGTTTTCTTTCTTTGCATTTTTTCCTGTTACCCTTTTATTATTTAAATTGTCTCTTGCTTTTGAACTTGAACTATGAAATAAACAAATCATAGATTTTTCCATTCAGATCTGACTGGATAACTCTTGGCTCCTAAACAGCTGGCAGGCTCACCCTTGCACCCTGTCCCACCCCTGCTCCGTAAGAAAGAATAAACGCAAGCTGAATATTCTAAAATCTTTTAAGAGTTCAGAGTATGAGGTAGAATAAAAGCTTTGTTGGTAGACCTGCCTTTTCCAAAGTCTCTGTTAATAGCATGTGACTTTGTGTTTTACAAAGTCATTTGGAAATTATTTTTTCTTTCCAACACTTCACCACCCTGTACCTCAAGAAAAAAACATTTTTAACGACTCTCAGATTTACATTTTATTTCAAAAACAGTCCGTAATTAGCACCTATTTTTTGATAAAAGACAAAAGTACAAAGAATTGACATGCATTTAAAAACTTTGGTCCTTGCATGTTCGAAACCTAACAGTTTACATGAAAAAGATTTTGTCATTTGTGATTCTAGAACAGACATAAAAATAGATGTGGATGATGATGTGCAAAATTCTGCTTGCCCCTTGGTGTCTGTGGAATGTGCCCACTTGCAGAGCTAAAGTGTGGGAAGTCAGTGCACGTGCGCAACTACCAAATACAACTTCATTGAAATAAGGGAACAAGGGCCGAGAACTATTTTTTTCAACTTCAAACCTAGTGGGGAAAATACACCTGTGCGTTGTGGGATACACTTTATTGCACAAGTTCAATTTCTACTTTTAATCTCCTGGTTATTTTCTTCTGGAAGTCTTTACAGAGGTGCAAAATCCCCGAAAGATAACCTGTGGTAATCTAGGAATTCCAGCCCATCAGTAAGGCCAATCCACGTAGTATTTACTTGTCTAATTTTGCTTTCCATTAGGTAATGTTATGACAGGGTTTAAAAACCAAAATCTACATAAAGATACAGAGGGAAAGTTTTCCTCCTGTTCCCACATCCAACCTGTCCAGTTACCCCACACTCTAAACTTACTAGTTGATGTGCATGTGTGTATGTATATATATGGAAAATTTGAAAGAAACCATATATGTATATGTATAAGCCTATATATATCTTCCAAAGTTTCCTTAAACATATACAAGCAAATATGAATGGAGATTTCCCCCTGTTTTCAAGATCAGTTACATTATTGAGGGATTCCTAAAGATGCGGAGTCCCATTTTAAATGCATGGCTGCTCAGTGGTACCCCATTTGGGATTTTTCGGTATTTTGGCCCAGTTGAATGGAGGTGATTTGTTTTCAAGAAACAAACCTTGAACTGAATGACTCCCCTTAGAATAACATAGTCCAGCCTATGGCTCTACCACCCTGAACGTGCCCGATCTCGTCTGATTTCGGAAGCTAAGCAGGGTCGGGCCTGGTTAGTACTTGGATGGGAGAATAATGTAGTCCTTTTTTTTTTTTTTTAAGGTTTTAGAGAGTGAGAGCTTGTGGTGGGAGGGGCAGAGGGAGAGGGAGAGAGAATTTCAAGCAGACTCCACACCCAGCTAGGAGCCTGGTGCCAGGCTCGATATCAGGACCTTGATCACGACATGAGGCGAAACCAAGAGTCGGATGCTTAACCCACTATACCACCCAGGTGCCCCCAGGGTAATGTTCTCTTAATGTTTCCTCAAGCCCAGAGGCCTTGAGGCCACAGCCGCGTCATGCAGGCTGGAGATGAGAATATTAGGGAAATGCATACATAGATCTCCGTCACCCATGAAGGAGCTGTCTGATGGCCAAGGAGCCATTAGAATATGCAAATGATTGTCAAAGTTCTGTCATCACGTTAGGTTGAATCTTTATTCATCAGTGTTCGGAGACACTTTAGTCGGTAAAATCTAGGGGAATCCGCTTCTCAGCACGAGTGTCCACATGTGGCGTTAAATGCACATTTTACTTTTGACTTTTCCCGGAATCCTGGGCAAAGGCACAGGGCTGTTGAAGAGCAAAAAGGTTTTCATGCGTCGGTCCTGCCAGGTAAAAGCTGGTGGGAGTTGACCGATCTGGTTAAGGAATAAAGGGAACGCGTGTGTGATGTGCACGGTGCTTTTCAAAGGGGTTTTAAGGTATTGTTTTCAGGTGTCTGGGGAAGTTTTGTAGTAACTGTGTTATTGTGTTTCTTAAACGAGGCAGAGCTGGGAGTCTGTGTGTGTGTGTGTGTGTGTGTGTGTGCATGCGCTTGCATACCCCTACATACCTATATCCAGGTTTGTGTCTTTTCAAACACTTAATCCCAGGCAGACCTTACCCTTTCACTTAAAGGCTGCCTTCCCCCTGCTGTCAGTGGTGTGTGCTTGGGGAATGCAGACTAATTTTAATAATAGCCTAAGGGAAACATAATTAGGAAGGTAAGCCTCCTGCCAAGAACAAACTACACACACGCACATATAAAATGCATTCCAGATAGAATTGCTTCGGTTTACTACAGCCTGGGCCTTGCTTTTTTGTACCAACATTGATAACCCGAAGCTGACTGTAACCCACTGTTCTCGGGGTCTCCCCACACAGGGCAGTTGGGGCCAGGTCGGCCACAAAGGAAGAACGCTGGTTGGTGGGTAATCTTCTGGACAGTGGCCTTGGGCTCTGAACCCGTTCGCTGCACTTGCCTGTCTAGGTCTTGAGGGCCCCTGCCTTCATCTCGCTTTTAAAATGTAATGAAAAACTTGTTTCAGTTCTGAATAATTTGCAACAAGCTCTGGCCGCAGCAACAGAAAGTTATTTAAACGTATTTACTGTAAAAAAAAAAAAAAAGTTCTTGTTTATTCACGGTGAAGCAGGATGAACCCGGGTGCAGGCCACTAAGGCCAGGCCGCATCCATGATCACCAGTAGAAGTCGCTCCATTTTGCCCATGAGTATAAGGACTCAAAGACATTAGGTAACTTTCCCAAGGGTGACCTACAGGTAAGAAATGTGAGAACCAGATTTGAAACCAAGGTTGGCTGGCCACCAGAGACTGTTTTCTTTTCTTTTCCTTTTTTCCCAAGTGCCACTTTTTCTTCCATTATCCTCTTCCCTTTACTCTGCTGTCACAGTCCTCAGGAAGGGACAGGCCTGTTGGGCATGCTGTAGTGAGCACTGTCCTGGACGTGCAGAAGGCCAAGTTAAAGGTCATGGCAAACTCTGGCTGACCAGTTGACCTGAGCCCA